CACACACACACACACACACACACAACTCCAGCTTGTTAAATGTGTTCACTTCATGCATAAATTCATCCATTCAGCAGAGTATGTTGACTGGATTCCTGCAACTAGTAAAGAAAAAGGAGAATGTGTGTGTATGTGTGTGCGTGTGTGCACGTGTGTTAATGTGATATCAACCTCTTTTTAAATTACTCCCAGCCTTAGCTCTATGCTCTTGCTGTTTCTTGGCCTCCTTTCTTTTTCTGTTTCTTCCCCTTTTCCCTCTTCCTCCCTTCCTCTCTTCCTTCCTCTCCTTTCTTCTTCCTCAGGAGGAAAATCTCCAGGTTACCCTACAGCAGTGATGGTGAACCTTTTAGAGACTAAGTGTCAAACTGCAACCCAAAACCCACTTCTTTATTGCAAAGTGCCAACACTGAAATTAAACCTGAATCCTGAAGTTTTAGTTTAGAAAAAACAAGCCATACATTGATATCTTTTGTCTTAAAAGAAAAACACAATAACACATGTGCCACAAGTTTGCCAGGACTGTCCTATAGTGTTCCATCTGTCAAGGCATGTTGGTCTTGCCACTCTAACAACCAGAGAGGGATTTCCAAAGAGTACTGGCATTTCTTTGCCATCACAATAGGAACATGGTGCCTTGGTGAACTCTGTCATGTTCAAAGAGTTGAGACAAGGGGAAGTTTTTAAAAAGACAAACTCAGAGGATTACATCAGATTTTTAAAACATTAATTCTTGGTTACAGTGGTTAATAGCCAAAGTGCTGTCAGTCTGACATGGAACAGGCAGTTATTGGCAGATGTCCCTGGGGAAGAACTGTGTGTGTGTGTGCGCTTGTGTGCGTGCACTCGTGTGCACGTGCATGTGTGCACACATGCACAGGTACATGTATGTGAATATGGGTGGGGGATTGAACCCTAGGCCTCTTTACATGCTTTACCATGAGCTACACCTCCAGTCCCTTAGAATCTATTGTTCATTTTGGTTTTGTTTTTATTTTTGAGAGAGTGGTTCATTATGTTGCCCAGGCTGACCTGGAACTCATGACCCTCCTGCCTTAACCACTGCATCCAGCCACCCCTAGCCCCTTAGAAGCACATTTGTGTAAGGTAGCAGTGGGCTCTGCAGGCTTGTGGCTCTGACAGAGTCTTTTGTGACTTATTTTCAGGCACAATCCATAAGAACTATTCCTTCAAACCTCTTGGTTTTGTTTACTTATTTCTGTTAGGGTCCGCACAATTGACTCCCTTTGATTCTGACAACTTTCACTTTTTTTTTTTACACTTTATAAAGTATGTAGCCTAGAATATTTTGTTGTAGCAACATAAAAATAAACTAAATTACTATGGCTTTTTTGGGGTACATCATCAGAGATACAGACACCACTGCACAAGTATCTCCAGTGAAGGAGAGAGATTGGGCTCCATTCAGCACAGTGTGGATGATTGCAGACTCATAGCCCAGAAGCAGGGGGGTGTGTGGCTGGAAAGTGTACAAGAGGGTACATAAGTGTGATGGAACTCTAGGTGGACCCACTGAACAGGATTCTTGCCGAAAGCAGCCAGTGTGACCATGTAACAGGGATACAGAGGCTGGGCCTGCAACCATCTACTGGGTAACTAGAGGCAGGATGAAGCCTGGAACCTCCGCTTTCACCTTATGTCTCCCTTGTGTTCTTAAGTTGTGTCAGCTTCCTGCTCAGCTCTGCATGTAGGCCTGCTAATCACTTACCAAGTATTGCAAGGTTTGTTGGCCATGAATGTGCCTGGTTTGTCTCACTGCCTTTCCAGACTCAGGATACCAAGCAAGAGTAACTAAAGTAATTTCCAGGACTCTCAGAGACATCCAATTGCCAGCTTTTACAGTGTCCAGTCCAGACCCCTTACAGTGATTCCTACAAGTTTTCATTGTTCTAAACCTGCAGCCACCTGGGACTTCAAGAAAAGCAGACTGTTGCAGACCACTCCATGATGAGGTCACCCCCAATCCATAATCAGAAGCAATTACTCCACGACAGGAACTGAGCACCCCCCAAGCAGCATGCCCTGAGCTCCTGACAGAAACCAAATTGTTACTCAAGCACAGTGATGAGTTGCCCAGAATGTCACAGAACCATCCTGGATCAGAATGACATATGCTTCAAGCTATGTAAACCCAACCCTTGCCTTTATTTGTGGGGGCTGAGCTTGCTCTGTGAGGACCCCTAAATCCCCAAAACTCCAGTAACAACCATACAACCATACAACCCCTAAGGGTAGTGGAGGATGGATTTATTGAGGGTGGCAGGATTCTTGTTTGGCTGCCTTACCAGAGCTCCTTACTAAAACTAGATTTTAGAAGACCATGCACAGATGGGCCTATGAGAGGAGGGTTCTGAAGCCTGAACAAAGTTTGGTCAAGCCAAAGATTGGTTGTATTACATATACCCTGAAAGGGCTGTTATGAAAACTAAGTTGAATTGAATATTTAGGAAGTGGCTTCCCTGCTCTGAGTGAGTATCCCAGAAGTGCTTGTTAAATCAAGCAGATATTTTAGGAGGAAACAGACATCCTCATAACTCTGTGGTCTGAAGGGTGAGTTCCTGGATTGGGTTTATCAAAGTGGTGGCTACAAAAAAGCCACTACTGTGTTTAAAGTTTACAGAAAAGCCATTCTTTTTAGGAAAATAACCCAGTTTAAAGGATACTAGAATCCGGCAAGAGGGTGGACTTGGAAGAGTATTCTGAGAAGGCTTGAGTGAGTCTGGATCTGCTGATTCTGATCTGTGCATGAGTTACTGTGGGACCTAAATTACAAGCCCTTGCTAAATGGCAAAGGGCCTAGGAGACAGTGTCCTGAACCCCTCCCATTGTAGCCACAGCCCCGACCTTTGTTCCATCCCTGGCCTAAGAATGTGTATCACTCTTGTATTATTTGAAGTCCGGATCTGAATCTACCTGTAAATTAGAGACTCCAGACATAGAGCCCCAAGTTAATTGACAAACTGTTTGCTCATCCGGAGTGTCTTGGTGACCTTTGAGACATCCTATGGGTGGTACCTGTCACTCATCAATATGTGACTGTTGAGCATGTGACTGCTGACCACCAGCTCAAGTCAGCAGACCTTTGTCCCCTGTCTGTGAGCCCAAAAATGTTAACCCCCTCTTTTACTCCCTATAAGAGGACCTCAGCCCCTGAGCTAGGCGCCTCTCTGAGCCAGCCACTTGGTTCTGAGAGTGCCGTCTGGCCAGACTAATAAAGGTCTCTTTACCATCTAGCCTGGTGTGTTCCTTCCTGGGTTTCTCGTTCTCCGTCGAGCTCCCAGAGCCTCGCTGGGTGTTGGACCCAGCATTGTGGAGGCCTTTTGGCTGTTCACGCTCCGTGGAGTGGAAGTGAGATTTTAGGTCTTACATTACACTGAAGAAAAACTTGGTAGACCTGAGAAGAGTGGACAGATCTGTTGGTGAGCTGTGAAAATGTCACGGGGTTGGTTGGCAGGGCTGTTCAGAGTCAACATGCACTGTGCATCCGGTTGGTCATAATGAAGAGATGAATACAACCATTTCCCAAAATACATGGAAATGATGTAATGGAGTTTTATGTATCATCCCAGGGCAACCCTGCATATCTCTAACCTATACCTAGAAACCAGGGACATGGAGGAGCAATACAGTTCTGTATGCTTATTCTCTCCTTATTACAATAATATGCACAATAAACATTTGTTCTAGGGCCAGGGATTTAGCTCAGTGTTTCCACCCGCTTGCCGTGCAAGCACAGGGACCCGAGTTCAATCCCTGGTACCAAAAAAAAAAAAAAAAAAAAAAAAAAAAATTTGTTCTAGAAAATATGGAGGAATGAGAATGCTGTGGAAAAGAGAATGAAAGCATCCAGTAATACATCAAGAATTAAACTCAGTAATTTCATTTCCTTTATCAGAATGGATTTAGACTAGTAGATCATTTACTCTTTCATTCATTCTAGAAATATTCAACCATCCATCATGTGCACGAAAAGTGACTTTGGTCCAAACACAGTGTTGCACACCTGTAATCCCAGGCTGAGGCAAGAGGATCACAAGTTCCAGCCCAGCCTGAGCAACTTAATGGGACCTCCAAACAATAAGTTAAAAAGGCCTGGGGATGTAGATTAGTGCAAAAGCCCTGGACTCAATATTCAATGCGGCAAAATGGAGAAAGAAAAAGAAAGAGAAAAGGGGGAAATAGAAGGCAGGAGCATGAAAGAAAATAGATTTGGGGGATGGAGGTGGGGTTGGAAAAGCAGCTGGACAGTCCAAAAGACACGAGTAAAGTAACAGCAGAGAAAGAGAAGGAGGTGCTAAGTGGCAGGGGCGGCAGGGGTGGTGGTGGTGTTATGCCCAAAGCAGCTCAGGAAACACAGTCTTAAGCTGCTGCACAAAGGAGCTCAGAACTCAGCCAAACTCAGTAGTGTTGTCCAGCTCATGCTCTTTCTTAGCCAAGCATTAACTGGGCAACTGCCGGGTGTCACTTATGTCTCCCCAGAAGTGCAAGCAGGAAAAACATCATCCTGAGGATTCTGGCAGGAGAAAACCTCCTGCTACATACTCCTGTGATGGGGCTGGTCGAGCCTAGTGAGGTGGCTCAGCTGCTGAGCCTGGGCCAGCTCTGGGAAGGGAAGGAGCTAGTGAGTGTGAAGCACCGGACATACACTTAGCAACCCTACTTACCAGGCAGGCAGGATGCCTTCTTACAGAAGAAGAAATGGAGGCCAAAGAAGGTAATTACTCAGCCAAGGAGGGCAGGTAAATGGCCTCCAGTCAGATTTCTCAAACTAGAAAGTGTGCCTGTATCTTCCTAAACTGTTCCTGATTCAACTCGTTTGGATCCTGGCCCGAGCTTCTGCTTTTCTAAGCAGCTCTTTATGATGCTGAAATAGGTGACAAAGGTGAACGTGTGACACTTTTTTTTTTTTGTACTGGGGATCGAACTCAGGGCCTTGTGCTTGCGGAAACAGGCGGCAGAACCAATGAGACAAATTCCTGGCCCGACATTGTCATTTTAGCTTGGAAGTTACTACACTACGGAGGCATCCTGGGGACAACTTTCATAGCGGTGTTCCGGCAGTTGACTCAGCAATTAACATAATGGCAGTAATTAACATCATTTTGAAAACAGCAATTAACACAACAGTGGTTGCTGCCTGCAGAGATACAGGAGAAATCCTGCCTGTCAAGCTGTTACTTAGAATATGGCTACCACTTCAAAGAGATTTCATGGGAATTAATAGCAACAAAATGAAGGGCTACCGTTTTAGTTATTTACAGTTAAAATCTGCGCTTCCGATGGAAGTACTTCACTGTTTCCTAAGGAACCCTTTGGATTTACTCTTGAATTATGGGAGGAACCCATCTCTGATGTCAAAAGGAGAATAAATGGTTAATACAAATGGAAGCTGCCATTCACTGCCTCTTGTTAAATAACCATCAATCTTCCCCTCTCTGGCTGTGGGCTTCAGAAAGAAATTCCTCCTTTCTCTCACCTGGCCAAAGAAAACAAAGGCTCGAGTTGTAACAGGGTATCATTTTACTTTTAACCACCGCCAAAGACGCGGCAGACCCAAAGATCTTCCGGTTTAAAACAAAAGGTTTGAACAAAGATGCGCAGCCTGGGTCCTGGTGTGCATCAGACGCGCTTTTGGATTGGTTGGACTACGGCCCAATAAGAAAAAAGAGCCGCATCTTCTATTTACATACGTGTTTCTGGGTCACCGCCAGGCGGCAGGCCGTCCAACCAGGTGCCAGATATTTGGAACCCTCATTTGAATATAAAGATGACAAATACGGCTGCCTGCGCCCTATTCCAGTCTGTCCAGGTTCGGTTACTGCCTCGCCATGCCGGAACCTTCCCGCTCCGCTCCGGCCCCAAAAAAGGGCTCCAAGAAGGCCATCACAAAGGCGCAGAAGAAGGACGGCAAGAAGCGCAAGCGCGGCCGCAAGGAGAGCTACTCCATCTACGTGTACAAGGTGCTGAAGCAAGTGCACCCGGACACGGGCATCTCGTCCAAGGCCATGGGCATCATGAACTCCTTCGTCAACGACATCTTCGAGCGCATCGCCAGCGAGGCGTCGCGCCTGGCGCACTACAACAAGCGCTCTACCATCACGTCTCGCGAGGTGCAGACGGCCGTGCGCCTGCTGCTGCCCGGGGAGCTGGCCAAGCACGCTGTGTCCGAGGGCACCAAGGCCGTCACCAAGTACACCAGCTCCAAGTGAGCGCGCCGCGGGCACCCGAACCCAAAGGCTCTTTTCAGAGCCACCTCCAAGCTCAAAAAGGAGCGTGCGCGTGGTCAGATTGTGACCGGTGACTCAGTTGGAGCGCTGGAGGAAGGCACACTGCGCAATGCGGGTGCGAGTCCTGAGACAGGATTAGCCCCCTGTTCCTCACGGTATGTTTTCCTTAAAGATAAATAAATAATGCTGGCTCAGTCTAGCCCACAGCCAGCAGCTAGATAGGGGGCACCTCTCGAAAACCTGGTCGGTATGGCGTTCTTTTTGCTCACCCACAAGCGACCTGTGCCATTCCCCCAATCCCTGTCCTAGGAATGAAGCTGGAGGACGCGCTAGGTGAGGCTGGGGTTGTCGCGCTGCTCTGCGAAAACATCTGAGCCTTGCTTCCTGGGCTGTAAACCCTCTCTCGCCAGCGTTCAGCACCCTGAGAAGCGTTTCCCTTGAGCAGCTCTTTGCCTAGTGTTCCCTTGGAAACACTACTCCAGCGGGCGCACAGACCCTGGCCTCTACCCTCAACTAAAATCTCAGTTGAGAGATTCTGCTATTCCTTCATCCATGTATGTATTTTTCCCATAGTGAACGTTGAAAGATCCTTTTCATCCCCAAACACGTATAACATACGTTATGTATATGCACATGTGTATCACGTATCATCTATATAACCTGGTAAACATGAAGTAATCTTTTACATAAAGTAAATCTGCACGGTTTTTTCCTCTCCACATCTTTTTTTTTTAATTCCCTCAGCAGCTATGTACAAAGTAAGTACAATGTTCACTTGGTGACACATTAATTTCCAAAGCATGCAGGCCTGCCTGGGATCCAGGCGAAAACCTCAACCAAGAACACCTCAGAGTGAGTGACCCCTTCCCTCCAAGAGCTCATAGCTGATTTGGATTTGGATTTGCTCAGTAGACAATGGCCATCTTATTTCTCACATCAGCCGCAGTGTCAGCCACAGCATTTAACCTCTTATTGTCTTACGTGGTAAGTTGACTTCCTTGAGCTTGTAGCTTCTTCTCAAAGGAATAGTTTTTTCCCCTTCCTCCAATTTTTTAAATTTACTTCCTATTAATTAGCAAATTTTACTTGAAAGGTCTAGCAGGGAGGGCAGTTTCTTCAATGCTTTTCAGATGGTATGCCTGCAAAATCCCTCCCACATTTTCTAGAACCCACTTTGTGAGCTTGGTTTATTCAAACTCAGAATACTCCCATTGTGTAAGTCCTGATTCTCCTAATCTCTACAGATTTTTACATATTTTGACATGCACTGCCTTCATTTAATTTTCAATTTATCCAGAATATTCTTCTCTGTTGTAACAGTGGAATTATAGACATGAGTTTGTATACAATTTCTCTCAGTTTTCTTCATTATAGCAATCTTAATAGCCAGGAACCTGTTTTGTGTTCTTTCCCCTAACAGATTTTTGTCCAAGGAGGGAAGTATAAGTCCTACCCATTCTAGGCCTGGGGCTGCCATGCAGCAAGTAAACACTTTCTATACTTACTCCAAGCTATTGTGAAGAGTCAAGAAAACTGAGAAATTAATCCATATTTTGCATTATGTACAACAAAACATATTCTTATAGAATTATATTTGTAAATTATGATGCATTCATTTTGCTCCTGATTCTGTCTACAGCTAACACAATCACACTCCTCAGCTAGAGACAAGCTTCATTTTATTTAACCTATGTGTTGGTCTCCTTAAGGTAGAGAATCACATGGCTCGACAGGCATATATCAAGTGATTACAGATGCTGCTTTAAAACCTCACTGCACTGCCAACAAAACAAAACAAAACAGAAACAGAAACAAATTTCATTTCCAATGTATACGACGTCAAGGATGGTGGCTTGAATATCTCAGTCATTGTTGACAGGTCCAATTTAATTTCAATGATAGATTGCTGCTGCTTAAGTTTTAAATTAGGAAGGCAAAGTATTGAATAAAATAGCTATGGCAAAATTTCAATTCCTATGTGTTTATTTCCATAATTTTCTAAGATATCAAAAGAAAACAGAATGGAAGCAGTGTTGTACGCTGCTAGCACACTAACCATACAAAGATTGTCTATGCCCATGGATGCATGCAGTACTCAAGGCAGAAAGTCTAAAGGAGGGAAGAAGGAACTAGCACTCAATTCATTGAAATAAAAATTTAGTTACACTGACTGAAACACTTTTGTACCATCCAGATGAATTTTTTTTTTAACACTGAGAGACTTCTGGTCACCTGAAATGTTTAAATTTCAACTGATATACTGTTTTTTGCAAGAAGGGTAATAGACAAAAACATACATAGAATTGCTTTAGGATGAAATTCTGAGGCAGAAGGAAAATGGAAAAATGAGTTTAGGGAAAGCAATTCCTTGAAATATCTGTTAAGAAGGTACTATATCAGGATAAACACCCTTGCAACTATTTGAACATCCAATAAAAATACTTTCAAATTTAAAATTTTAATTTTCAGAAATTATTTTAGTGGCCCTATGCAGGAAGAGAGCAGAGACACAGCCATTGCAGGGACTGCTTCCCTTAGTCTCTTATCCCCGATCCACCCCTCTGCAGCACTCCAGACACAAGACAGGCTCCCTTAGGAGAAACAACTTGAAAATATATACTGACATTTATTTGCCAAGACAATAACCAATATTCAATACTTTTAATTCCCACAATTCAAATTCTTACAAACCCCTTTTTCATAAATATGAAAAGCCAAATTCAAAAATAGTCAAGCAATGTCGGCTCTGGAGTGCAGACTTGTGTCGAAACGCTTCCCTAGAACCAAAATATCACTCTCCAAGCAAATACCACGAATGTGAAGGGAAAGGTTATTCTGTTTTAGGAACACTACCAGAAAATATGCCCAGAGAAGCAGCTATATTTGCTCAAAACGAAAGAATTCTTTTCCTCTTAAATTAACCTCCCCCACCCGCTGAGGTCAAAGCTGTGGTCAGCTGTGAACATTTAAACCATCCAGCTCGCGCCCAGGGAAGGGTTGTGGTTCGGGTTTCAAGTTTAATGCTACTGAAGGATTTGCCAGACAAACATCTTCCTGGAATGTTCGCTGCAGGAGGATAAAGATGTCTGTCTCAACCGTGCGAGGACTGAGAGGTCCTAAAATGACGCAGAGCCAGACCCCGCCATAAGATAGCGCAAAAACCAGGGACTTCACCAAGCGTGGGGCCAGCAGCGTCCAGACCTCGCCAGGCGTGAGGGCGAGGCATAACATTCCCCTCGGAGAAGCTTGCGCGCACATCTGCTAGCACGCCTTTATGCTTCCATTCCTAACCCCATTTAAGAAATAAATACATTCCCGCATTATGCTCACAGGAGACTCAGATTGGGCGCCCAGAAGCAAGGAGCTGCTAAGGCGCCTGTCAATAACCTTTCACCGTGTTCGAAACCCTTTCTCGATCGTGTGGGTGGCTCTGAAAAGAGCCTTTGGGTTCGGGTGCCCGCGGCGCGCTCACTTGGAGCTGGTGTACTTGGTGACGGCCTTGGTGCCCTCGGACACAGCGTGCTTGGCCAGCTCCCCGGGCAGCAGCAGGCGCACGGCCGTCTGCACCTCGCGAGACGTGATGGTAGAGCGCTTGTTGTAGTGCGCCAGGCGCGACGCCTCGCTGGCGATGCGCTCGAAGATGTCGTTGACGAAGGAGTTCATGATGCCCATGGCCTTGGACGAGATGCCCGTGTCCGGGTGCACTTGCTTCAGCACCTTGTACACGTAGATGGAGTAGCTCTCCTTGCGGCCGCGCTTGCGCTTCTTGCCGTCCTTCTTCTGCGCCTTTATGCCGGCCTTCTTGGAGCCTTTTTTGGGAGCCGGAGCAGATTTGGAAGGGTCAGGCATGATGGCAGATGTCTCTGGACACACCAGGGGTGCACAGCCCCAAGCTATTTGTGTGGCTTGTATTCAAATAAGGATCAAAATGGTTCTCTTCCGATTGGCTAGAACGTCGAGTTACGTAATAGCAGGGCAAGGCATATGCATATTAGGAGATGTGGGGTTGCTTTTCTTATTGGCTACGGGTGCCATCCAATCGCACAGCGCCAACTAGCCTGACTCCGGATCTTATATAGGGGCTCGCTGGGGCCCGCCGCCCTGTTCTCTTCAGTTCTGCTGTTTCTTTCCTTGCTATCTTTTCTGGAGAATCCGAGATGTCTGGTCGTGGCAAACAGGGAGGCAAGGCGCGAGCCAAGGCTAAATCGCGCTCCTCGCGCGCGGGCCTACAGTTTCCGGTGGGCCGCGTGCACCGCCTGCTCCGCAAGGGCAACTACTCGGAGCGTGTGGGCGCCGGCGCCCCGGTGTACCTGGCGGCCGTGCTCGAGTACTTGACGGCCGAAATCCTGGAGCTGGCGGGCAACGCGGCGCGCGACAACAAGAAGACGCGCATCATCCCGCGCCACCTGCAGCTGGCCATCCGCAACGACGAGGAGCTCAACAAACTGCTGGGCCGCGTGACGATCGCGCAGGGCGGCGTCCTGCCCAACATCCAGGCCGTGCTGCTGCCGAAGAAGACTGAGAGCCACCACAAGGCCAAGGGCAAGTGAGGCCCGCGCCCCGCGGCCCGTGACCGACACCAAAGGCTCTTTTCAGAGCCACCCACTGCCTCGAGAAAAGAGCCGCACTGACCACGCAGCCCCTATGGCCAGCCCCTCACCGCCTTCCCGGAAAAGGAAGGAATACGGCGGCCTGGGTTCCCCGGGGGCCGACCTATGGTCTCTGCTTGCTCATATTACCATTCCTCAAAGACGTCACCACCACCCCTGTAATGTACCCTCCCCAGTATCACTAGTGACGAATTACCTGGGACTCCAGAAAGGTCACATTTAGACGTTAAGTCAGGAATGCCACTGTTCTCGAGATGATGGTCCAGTCGATTCATCCAGTGACAAAAGTAATCTTAATCTGTGGTGTGAGGTTCTGAGAAACCCTGGGGTTTCCACGTGATAGTGTTTGAGCCCAGAGTTGGGATAGCTAAATTTTAACAAAGCGAAATCCACCAAAGTCAGGATCTGATTTTGTTGCGTTGGGATTTCTAAAGGTCTTGGGAAAGTTTTTGTTTGTTTGTTTTTTAATAATTGCTCTGTCCTAAAATTGGATGTAAATGTTTTTTTTTTTTTAATTGTTTGGGGGGGTACCGGTGATCAAACTCGGGTCCTTGTGCTTGTGAGGCAGAGGTTGGAACCACTGAGCCAAATCCCCAGCCCTTGGGTGTAAATGTTTTAAGGAGACATAATTGAAATAGGATACTTAAATTCAGTTTTGAGTTGATCAGACATTAAGGATCCCCCTAAATTGCTAGAATCAAAAATTTAAAAATTTGTACACCAAATTTAATAAAAATTTGCATTTATTTTCACAAATAAAAATTTAATGAACAGCAAAATTTAAACTGTTAGAACCAGAATGAGTAAAAATTGTTCATGATCTTTACAGTCCATTATAAAGGATGGGGAGCTGCAGGCAAAACCAACCTCATGGGGGAATAAATGAATTATCTATGATAATCTTTAGAACATAGTTTGCCATAAAATCAGAGCTCAGTAAATGTTATCCATTTTTCCTTTTTCCCATACTGTTTTCTTTCATTATAACAAATACAACCCGGCAAGACAATATTATATGCATTGTATAATATTACATATAATATGTATTTATCCTGCAAAATTAGATCTACTCAAACCAGAGCTTCCCCACATACCATCTGGAGCTAACTACAAACCTTGTCTTTAGAAAGCAGTCAAAAAAAAAAAAAGTCCAGTTCTGAGTAACTATTTGTATAAAAATGTATGTTTTGTTTTGTTTTTTGGTACCAGGGATCAAACTCGGAACACTGTACTTGTGAGGCAGATGGCAAAACCACTGAGCTAAATCCCCAGGTTATTTGTGTAAAAATTGATACGCCACAGCTCTAACCATGATTTTTAAAAACAAAATACTCACAGGTTTGTGTAGATCATGCACCACACATGTGGGCACTATTTCAGTTAAAAAAAAAAAAAAAAAAAA